AAACGAAAAGCTTCAAATTCATAATAATATAAAATAATAAGAGCTAAAGTTCAAGCAACCTCATTATTAGCATCAACCAACATATTGGTCAAACATGCAACACTAATCCCTAAATTGTATGTGGGTTCAAACTTCTCATCCTTTGAGTGATTACCAACAATTTTATTCTCCTCCTCTAATAGAGAAAAAGTAATCGAGTGGCTTAAAGGTCCGCAATATTTTGCTCGAGCTTTTTCTTCAAAGAAGATTGTTGCAAGCTAATGGGGCCACTTTTATCTGGTGGCTTATTAGTTGCTTTTGATAAAATGATTCCTCTAGACATTTCTACTTTAGCAATTCTTGTATTTCGCGTATGGGGTGGTTGAATTGTTGCATTACTTAGACCTAAACTATTAGTAGGTTTGACCACTGAATGCTTGTTTCAACCCAATGTGGTAGCAGTTGGCACACATTTATACACTTGCAATTAAGCCAAGCTAGTTTGAGACAAAGACCCAGCCATAATATTAGTACCATCGTGCACCAAATCTCCATGCACTATATCATACTACTATTTTCCTCCACATGATTATCCTTCTTAATTAAAACATCTTCATTCAAAAAGTTGGTTTGCATTGCCATTGATTAGGTCTCATTATTGGCCTTATTATTTCTTAAAATTATCATAGATTGGATCAATTCCTCATTAAATTTGGCACCACTAAAAGGCACCTTATTATTCTCCTTTGGCCTAGTCACATTTTTATGGTTAGCTTCATAAATCCTTTCAACTTAACAACTGACCTAGATTTCTACATTGCTTTTTCATTAGGCACCAGTGCCGCACCATTATCATTAAGCTTAGGGGCTTCCAAATTCTCCTCCTCCAATATAGAAAATAAGAACCAGAGCTAATGTGTCCTTTCAAGCTTTGATTTCTTATTGATTGTTTTTTATCCAATCCTCATGGTTTTCTATGAGAGACAAGCATCTAAGGGCCATAAGGAGATTCGTCTGTTTTCTTCTTGGTCTATTGTGAATAACCTTGTTTTGTCACTTTTGGGGCCTTATTTTGATTAGTACAGACTTTTTTAGTGTGCCCATAAACACCATATGTGAAACAAATCCTAGACAATCTTTCATAAACAATTCGCTGTTCTTTACCAATCAGGAAAATTTTAGCACCAAAGGCTTTGAAAAATTAAGCTCTACAACCACCGGGGCAAACTTACCTTATTTTTTAGAGCTTGTGTTATAATCGATTTTCAAAAGATGTCCAATCAAAGAGGTAATTCGCCTAAGAATCGATTTGTAATACAAGTGAAGTAGAATGTGAGGAAACTGAACCCACGTCACCACTACTGTGAGTTCTTGCATATTGTTTGGAAAAATTAGGCATTTAGAGATTGACAATCAGGTAATGCCCTATAATTACCCATGGTCCAGCCAATAAGGCTCTCAAGTAATCCTCCTTTCTCATAAAGTGGACAATAAAACAATTATCATCCAAATCCACAATAATATATCATTTTATTGGTTTCCAAAGATTAGCAACTTTCTCACAAAGTACTTTTTATGAAATTGGGCAACCTAGCAGCTATACAATAATTGAGTTATGCTATGTCTTTGTAATGTATCTTGCCTCAGATTAGAAACCGTGATTAAAGGGAACCCTTCAATATTGAATCCATATTCAAAATCCTCTTCATCAGATGCATCTGAGTTACAATCCATCTCAGACTCCTTATCATCCTTAAAATCCTCAGAAAATTCACTGTCACTTTGGAAGTAGGCCTCTTCACCATCTGAAGTAAGGAATGCGTCCATAAAGGAAAGGTTGTTGTGAACAACCAATGGAGTATTGTTCATAGAATTGTCCAATCAAAGAGGTAATTCGCCTAAGAATCGATTTGTAATACAAGTGAAGTAGAATGTGAGGAAACTGAACCCACGTCACCACTACTGTGAGTTCTTGCATATTTGTGGAAAAATTAGGCATTTAGAGATTGACAATCAGGTAATGCCCTATAATTACCCATGGTCCAGCCAATAAGGCTCTCAAGTAATCCTCCTTTCTCACAAAGTGGACAATAAAACAATTATCATCCAAATCCACAATATATATCATTTTATTGGTTTCCAAAGATTAGCAACTTTCTCACAAAGTACTTTTTATGAAATTGGGCAACCTAGCAGCTATACAATAATTGAGTTATGCTATGTCTTTGTAATGTATCTTGCCTCCGATTAGAAACCGTGATTAAAGGGAACCCTTCAATATTGAATCCATATTCAAAATCCTCTTCATCAGATGCATCTGAGTTACAATCCATCTCAGACTCCTTATCATCCTTAAAATCCTCAGAAAATTCACTGTCACTTTGGAAATAGGCCTCTTCACCATCTGAAGTAAGGAATGCGTCCATAAAGGAAAGGTTGTTGTGAACAACCAATGGAGTATTGTTCATAGAATTGTCCAATCAAAGAGGTAATTCGCCTAAGAATCGATTTGTAATACAAGTGAAGTAGAATGTGAGGAAACTGAACCCACGTCACCACTACTGTGAGTTCTTGCATATTGTGGAAAATTAGGCATTTAGAGATTGACAATCAGGTAATGCCCTATAATTACCCATGGTCCAGCCAATAAGGCTCTCAAGTAATCCTCCTTTCTCACAAAGTGGACAATAAAACAGTTATCATCCAAATCCACAATAATATATCATTTTATTGGTTTCCAAAGATTAACAACTTTCTCACAAAGTACTTTTTATGAAATTGGGCAACCTAGCAGCTATACAATAATTGAGTTATGCTATGTCTTTGTAATGTATCTTGCCTCCGATTAAAAACCGTGATTAAAGGGAACCCTTCAATATGAATCCATATTCAAAATCCTCTTCATCAGATGCATCTGAGTTACAATCCATCTCAGACTCCTTATCATCCTTAAAATCCTCAGAAAATTCACTATCACTTTGGAAATAGGCCTCTTCACCATCTGAAGTAAGGAATGCGTCCATAAAGGAAAGGTTGTTGTGAACAACCAATGGAGTATTGTTCATAGAATTGTCCACTATAAGCTTGCGTATTCAGACTTTCTTGCATGATCGATCGTCGAGCAATGTTGGTTTAAGGTTTTTGCAAAGAGCACCCTCAGCCATCCTAAGAATTGTTCCTTCCAAAAGTTTTCATTAGCATACTAAAATCTTACTTTATACTAATTAAAAAGATCAAAATTTAATAATCCTTGAACGTTGTAGTAAAAAGTTTTTGAGTCACTCCTATTTTATTTGTAGCTTTATCTCATATCAAATCATATCATTTAAATAATGTTGATGAGAATCTTACTTTATGCTAAGGGTACATGCATGTCTCATGTTGGTATTATTGATAAATCTCCCATATCAAATCATAAGTTATAAAATTGATATAAATTATAAACTTGAAGTAGAGATAAGTGAAAATTTTCAATTATTATATATTAGTGCTCATGATCAAGAATATTTTACATTATATTTTTTTAAAATGTTAATAATTTGAAAGATTCAAAACAAAAACGTTTAAAAAAAATAAAGTTTTTGCATAATATGGTGAATTTATGAATATTTAATTAGATTTATAATACAAGAAAAAAATGCACATAGGGTAAATATATCTTATAATCAAGAGAAAATTGCACCATACATCCACAATCTTTATGTAATATTCATTTTGATTTTTGACTTTTAAAATTTAATTTTTGAATTTATGATCTTTTTAAAATATTTCAAATTCATCAAATCTGTCAATTGTCATTAAAATCTGATAAAATATTGTATCTCAATGTCATTGGACATCTATGCGGATGTCCATGTTGCAAAAAAATGTAGACTTGGACAATTGGATGTCCACTTGACAAAAAAAGGTTTGATACATTTGACATTTTTTAAGCTAAGACACCCATGTAGCACTGAATTGGTATATTTTGTTAATTTTTAACAGTAAGTTAATGGAATGGATGAATTTGAAATATTTTTAAAAAGTAATGAATTTAAAGATTTCAATTTTAAAAGTCACAATTGAAATAAAATATTGATAATTGGTGTATTTTATTCCATAATAAAATTGATATTCCACTATGATAAAACTCATATGTAACACATGGGCTAATTAGATATATATATATATATATATATATAAACTCAATCGTTAATATTTATTTAAAGAAAAATTATAAGTGGACAATTTAAGAATAAAATAATTTTAATGTCTTTTTCTATATATAATATTTTTAAAAAATCACGAATTTAGAGATTTTCAATTTTAAAAGTCAAAATTGAAATAAAATATTGATAATTGGTGTATTTTATTCCATAACAAAATTGATATTCAACTATGATAAAATTCATACGTAACTCATGAGATAATATATATATAATATTAACTCAATTGGTAATATTTATTTAAAAAAAATTATAAGCCGACAATTTAAGAATAAAATAATTTTACTGTCTTTTTTCATATATAAAAGTATTTTTTAATTCTGCATATTATGTTAATGTATATAAGCATATGTGTGTTTAAAAACAGCCCCTGCCGACCTCAACTCACACATGTACATGCAGAATACATATTGAATGATACCCTTAGTTGATTTTGACTCAAAAATTGTTCTACTTCGATTTTTTTTTTTTAATTTCTCCTTTGAGAACACATATGCCCTTCCATTATCTGCCTATTGATCTAGATGTAATTGATATTTGGGCTATTATGCTGTTATAATCTAAGGAATTTACTTTCCTAATGAAGACTTTGTCCAATAAGCTGAAACCTAAACAATCGTTATATATATATATATATATATATATATATATATCGTAATTAAGAAGTCTATTCTTGGTGTTTGAATTAAATTAATGACTATTGGAGGTTACTTGTGCGATGGAGATATTTGTAGTTTACTAAATAAAAACTATAAGAAAGTCTACTCGTAATATATAAGTTATTGCATGACTTAGAAGCTACTTGCACAATCAAGGTATCATAGTGGAAATTTCTCGGAGGTTACTCATAATATATTCAAATGCTCTTTGGGGAAAAAAAGAAAGATAAAGAAAAGAAAAGGAAAGATAACATGCAACTCCCTTTACAAACCGTTACACCAGTTTGGCAATTATTAATTGATTTGCTCCAAAATATCCTGGACTAAGGCTGTCATATTCAAGTAGGATGATCCTCCGTTTCCCACCGCCGTTCTTGCCATTTCTTCAAGCTCTCGTGCTCTCATTCTTCTCTTTTGGCCTTCTTCTCCCCCGTTCATCAACATATCTATTGCTTTCTCAACTTGTTCTTTCTTGACCAACACTCCGAGTTTCTCTTCTTCACCCCATCTAACAGGAACCTCAACGCCAACCCGAAGTCCTATCTTTAGAATTTCAACAATCAGCTTCTCATTAAAGAACTGTTCGGAGAATTGAGGCCATGTTATCATTGGCACCCCAGAGCATACGGCTTCTATAGTTGAATTCCAGCCACAGTGAGTTAAGAACCCTCTTATTGCAGGATGGGATAAAATAAGAAGCTGGGGAGCCCACCCCTTGATCAAAAGTCCCCTCCCTTTGATTCTCTCCTCGAAATTATGCTCTGACAACCACTTTTCTAACTCGTCATTAGCTCTTTGATCACATGTTTTGACTGCCCATATAAACGGTTGCTTTGATGCTTCTAAACCCAACCCCAGTTCTATCAATTGTGCTGGAACAAGACGGCATAGGCTACCAAGGCAAGCGTAAATAACTGACCTTGGTTTCAGTGAATCGAGCCATTTCAAGCATTTTTCCTCATTGATTGATGCCTTGTTCCCTCTTTCAAACTTGTCCAAGTTTATTCTGTTGCATAAAGAAACAGGTCCAATGGCCCAAACCTTTTTCTTTATGGCTTTCTGGTACTCCTCGACACATCCGTGCTCTAGTTCATTGAAGCTGTTTATTACAACTCCGTAAGCAGTCATTTCAGCCTCTTGCATCTTGTTGCGAACATCGTCTAAGTCAGGCAAACTAACAAATGCTCCTGGAAGTTGAGCCCTTGTTATCTCAACCTTTTGTGGCAGTCCTGGCACCACAAAGGGTTCCGAATCCGAAGCAACGGAAAGATGAGCCTTATGTAGCTTCACATTGTGAGAGCTCAGCAATGAGAAGCAGCCCATCCCATGAAAAACAATCCTCGGGATATTAAACCTTTGAGCAGTTTTTGACGTCCAGGAAAGGCACTTATCTGATATGATGCAGCTGGGAAGCGGCTTTTGCTGTTCCAGAAATTGTTCTAAAGGTTCTTGCAACATACCAAGTGCATTGAAGAACTCTTTCAGTAGGTCCCTGGAAGATAAAGTGTCAAGATTCTCACAACCGGTAGGAAGTCCGGCTTCTTGGCATGGAAATGGAATTTTCACCAACCGAATCTGGAGCCCTGATTCCGAAGCTCGTTGGATGACTTTGTCAAATCTTAACGCATTGTGGGGGGTAGTGATCAAGCTTACAATCACTCCGCGCTCTGCAAGAAGCCTGGCCATGTCAACCATCGGAATCATATGACCTTGTGCCATGAGCGGGATTAACACAAAGTGTGGCTGCTTGGCTATTGAAGCCATAGGCTATAGAATTGGAAACAAACGAACGATCCAAGGATGGATTTTGGTTACCTAAAATGTTTAAAACAATCAAGTCTACGCGTTGTGCAGGAGGATTGCCAATGGCAGGTCTTATAAGGTGAGCTTGACTTGAATTATTCCAAACACCTTAGTTTAAAAAGAACGCAAAAAATAGTATAATGGTATCGTTGACAAATCGTCTTGTCTCATCTAACTTAAAAATTGACTTGACTTGGATTTTGAATTGGTTAAGTCATTGCTTCTCGTATGTTCGGTGTTGAATAACTCTCATTTATCTTATGCTTAGGTTTTATACCAACTTTTCAAGCACACGTCTTTACCCCGGCTCCTACGGTCTGATTCCAAAGTGTTAAACACAAAATTATGGATCCGATAATTTGTTGGTCTTGTCCTTTAGGTTTGATATTTCTTTTATCTAGATTAATAGATTTGATGTTGATAAGATTCGACGATCACTTTCTTTAAAGAAATACACCAACTTAAGAAGTTTCAATGTCATTTCCGAAACTTCCTTTTTCCAAATCTTCTCCTTTTAACCTTGCTTTTTTCCATGGCTGTTCTTGTGTTTAATTTATTATACTAATTTATATCTATTTTGATTGTAATATTCAATCAATTGATTATTCATAAGGGTCTGAAAATTGTTGTGATTGGTTCTTGATTGTAGAATGTAGAGGTACAAGTTATATCGGACAATGTTTTACAATAATCTGTTTGCGGGACCCAAAAATTTTCTTTAAAAATTCTCCTTTCATAAAAGAAAGTCTTCTAGAGTTGTTCAAGTTTACCTGTTTGGAGTAACCTAACTCTCTGGTTGTCGAGTGTTCAGATTTGTCTTTACAAATGAATGTCTTCCTCCTCTTTTGATCCTGTGCACAGGTCCCTTGCATGAAAATATTGACACACTCATGTGCTCACACTGTATAATAAAAGAAAACTCCGAAGTCGGCACCATATAATTAATGTTATCTTTAACCTCATTTCTTTGGTAGCATGTGTTTGTTTAAATCAGAGTGCTATTTTTTATCTTAAATTGAAGAGTTTGGAGATCTTAAAACAAAAAGGGTTCATCCCATAATTTTTCTCTAGTAATAGTAAAAGTTACGTAAATTATAATAATTAAAGTTGTTCACTAATAGTACTAGTTTTGACACAGTTACAATCTCAATACACGTTGATTTTATATACATTTTGGTATAATTTAAGAACCTTAATACCCAGTTCTTACCACCAATGTTTTTCTAGAATAAGCATAATTAAGTCAATGACAATTATTCTTAACTTATTCAAACATTTCTTATGAATGCCTAATTCATAAAGCATGACTTCTGATGTCGATAAATGAGAAACGAGAATGGATTTGGAACCCAACTTCAAACTTTTACGGTTCTTTCGTTGTTGGGTAGCTGGCAAGTTATGAACCAAATGACAGCCCACGTGAAGCATGATGCTAGGGTTTTTGGGCTGGGTACAAAACTTATACAAGCCTTCCTTATCGCGGACCACGTTCCCAGGGTGTTAGAATTTCCACAATACTTTTAACTTTATTTCTTTTAATTATAAAAGAGCATAACTTTATTCCTTTAGGGATCAAAAGATATTAACAAAAAAAAAAACAATTCAAGGGTCATTTCATACATATGAACGGAGTTATTCCTTTTCATATAAATATCGAAAGTGCATGAATAGTTTACCTTGAACTACTAGGACTTGACCGTTGATTTTCGTCAACTCCCATCAATTGATATTATGATTGATCATCTGATTTTTTTTCCTTTTTTTGTAATATCTACCCATTAATTACTTCTATGTATGTTTTGATTGTCAATTTCTGTTAATTATCATTACTAATTCAATATATGATGACCGTTGAATGACCATTATCAGTTGTTTGATTATTGTTAATCATCAAACTCTGATTTTTAGTGACAAATAATGACAATGAATTATTGCTAATCACTAATTAATTTAAGAAATAAGGTAGAGTAGAATAGAAATTTTAGGTTCCAACCCTAATGTTAACATGCAAAGAAGTAGTAACCCGATTATATAGGATTTGTATACCCTATATTTGGATCGGAACGAATTTAGATAGTAATTTTACTATCCATTTTGAGTTCAGGGTAAAGTGCCAATATCATCTTTTGAATATTCAATACCCAAACTCATTTATAAATAAATATATGTAAAATATATTGTATGTTTTTAAAAGGGATTGAACCTTGAGGATGCATTTGAACAATCGATAGTCTTGTCAATTTAACCAAATTCATTTATAAATACTATATGAAAAAGAATTTTATATATATATATATATATATATATATACACACACGCATACATTCTCACTTAATTAAAGATATATATTGTTTTGTTTTTTTCTTTACTCCTAAATGGGTATTTAACGAGTTTGAGTATTTAACAACTAATTTTAGGATATTAAGGTACAGGTTCGAATAATATTTTTAATTTTTATTTTAGTAATTAAAGAGTTCAGGTATTTTATAATTTAATAAGATTCAAGTTTAAGTACTTAAAAAATAACAAGTGCCCTACCTATTGACATCCCTAAACTAACGGCCATGAATTATATAATCATAATAATCATAATAATTATCCATTATTGATCATCCATTGATTTGGTCATCATATAATTATATCTGGTGGCCATCAATTGTAAACTATTACCAATAAGTTTTAGCTTTGGTGGATCCTGTATTAATCACCATCCAAAACCTAATTAGAGAGAAACATTTTTTTATTCAAAATAGACAGTGGAAATTATTCTTTAGTTAGCACGAGAGAGAAAGAGAAAGAAAAAGTTGGAAGGATAATATGACTAAAACCTGTTCGCAAACAATTATTAAGAATACTTGGTTAAGATCATTTGTGAGTATGTAGTAATCTGTTTGGATACGTTTTTGAAATTTGGAACTTTACCCTATTTTTTTTCACAAACCCGATGATACCCAAGTCCAATTGTTGAAGTGTATATTGTCATAACCGAACCTGATTATAAGTATATTGTCGTAACCAGCACCTCCATCCCTGCCCCCCAACACCACCTTAGCCATACATGAACAAAAATGCTTGCTTCCCACCCTATATATAAAATTTTGTCAAGTGTCTACTTGATGCTAGTAACATACAATATTTTATCCCTATAACTAAATAAAGAGTAAATTAAACACTATCAATGAAAAATAATAAAATTAAAAGTTCTTTATCTCATCACTTATTTTTTCATTCTTCCATCTTTCAATCACGAATCTTTTTGTTGTTTTCCCTTCTATTTCAAATCTTTATTTGAACCTGGATTGAATGATGAAGGCAACTGGGCTTTTGTGAATTCAATTCGACCAGGTAATCCTGGTATCTCAAAAGGTTCTGAATCAGAAAAATGCTCGTAGACCATGGATTTGTGCAAGTTGTGAGAGCATATATGAGTGAAGCAATTCATCCCATCAAATAATATCCTTGGAATCTGGAACTTGGAGGCAATGGTAGCTATCCAAGGAATATTTTTGTCTGTCACTATGCAACTTGGAAATGGTTTCATCCCTTGCAATGCTTGCTCAAGGGGTTCTTGCAACATGCTTTGTGCTGTTAAGAATTTGCCTACCAAGTCTAGTGAAGGTAGGCAGTCAATACTTTCACAGCCTTTGGGCAGGCCAACCTTAGTTGAAGGGAACTGGAGTTGTAAGAAATTGATAGGTAATCCAGATTTAATGGCACATTCAATGACTGAACCAAATTGAGTAACGTTTAGCGGGGTTATAACCATGGTGACAGCCACGTTTCGCTCTATCAGTAATCCAACAATATCCATCAGGGGTATAATGTGGCCTGGACACATCAAGGGTATGAACAGAAAGTGAGGCTCATAGCTTTCCATGGTCATTGCTATGTGAATTTCTAGGCAGAGTGACAATGATCCGGATGAATGCGTAATATTTGATTAAATAGAAGCTAATGCTTATTTATTAGAACAATCTTGATTAATATAGCAATTTATTCGCTGTCCCTTATCGGCTTGCTGTCATTGTCTAGCTGTTTTTATGGTTCTTGTGACGTAAGAGCATTTGACCTTTGAGAGGTGGTTGAACAAGGAGGAGAACTTCCTGAGCTGAGAGCCAACCTCACCATAAATCAAATGAGACAGCATAGTGAAAAAGTGGCAAAAAGATACAAGGCTTTGTCATACATTCGCACTGCTGTGACAGATATAATATTCACAAGAATCATGCCTTATGAAATAGCTTAAGAAGCTTGAGACAAGCTTAAAGAGGAGTTTCAAGGGTAAGACAGAACTAGGAAGATGCAAGTTTTAAACTTATTGAGACAGTTTGAAGTCTTGAAAATGAAAGAAGATGAAATTATGAAAGACTATGTTGACAAGCTAATGTAGATAGTTAATCAAGTTAGACTTTTAGGAGTTGAGCTCCCTGATGCAAGGATTATGGAAAAAGTGTCGGTAAGTATTTCTGAGAGGTTTGAGTAAAAAATCTCAGCTCTCAAGGAATTAAAAGACCTCACTGCTATGCATTTACAAGAGCTTGTCAATGCTCTTCAAGCCTGAGAGCAAAGAAGTGCCATTAAAGGTGAGGTGAGCAATGATATGAGGAGTGATAGTGCCTTGGTGACAAGGCATAAAGGAGGTGCTGGCTCAGGAACAAAGAAAACAGAAGTGGAGAAAAAAGATAGAGACAAAAAATCTGCTGATGGCAAACAATAAAAAGCCAAGTTTCTTCCCTGTCCACATTGCAAAAAAAGAAACCACTTTGGACGATTCTACTGGTTTAGATCAAACGTGAAATGTCAGTCTTGTAACCAACTTGGCCACATTGAAAAAGTATGTAAGGCCAAGATTAATCCTGTTGATGAGAAAGTTGGAATTGTGGAGCATAAGGAGGCTGAAAATGAAGTCTTGTTCATGGCCAAAAATCCAGAATGACACCTGGTATATAGATAATGGTTGTTCGAACCACATCACAGGAGATGACAATCTTTTCCTGGAGTTACATAGAGACTTCAGATCACAGGTGGAGATTGGTAATGGAGTTTTCTTGAAGATTTTTGGCATTGAGACGGTTGGCATTAAAACTCCTTCAAGTATTAAAACTTTATCTGATGTTCATTTTTCACTTGAAGTTAGTTATAATTTGTTAAGTGTCGGTCAGTTGTTAGAACAAGACTATACTCTTTTGTTTAAAGACAGGCAGTGCTCAATTCATGATTCATCAGGAAAGAAATTGCTTAGTGTTGCTATGAAAAATAAATGTTTTCCATTAAATTGGAAGAATTTAAGAAATCAAGCCTATCATTGTTTGTCTGGTGAAGCTAAACTATGGCACAAGAGACTTAGCCATGTCAATTATGGCTCTTTAAAACATATGGTAGCATCTAATTTAGTTGAAGGTCTCCCAAACTTAACTCAACTTGATGAATTGTGTGACACCTAGTAATTTGGAAAGCAGAGAAGGAAGCCATTCCCTAAAGAAGCAAAGTGGAGAGCCACACAAAAGCTAGAGCTCGTGCATATAGATATTGGAGGACCTGTGAGAACACCTTCACTCAGTGAAAGTAGATTTTATCTCTTGTTAATTGGTGATTTGTCTAGGTATAGTTGGGTTTACTTTCTCAAGCAAAAATTAGAAGCTTTTAGCAGCTTTGTCAAATTTAGAGCCTTGGTAGAAAATCAAGCAACCTTGACAATCAAGGTGCTTAGGAGCGATAATGGTACCGCATATACTGCTCTCGAGTTTGAGAAATACCTAGTTGAATCAGGCATGAAGCACCAACTCATTGTGTCTTATAGCCCACAACAGAACGGTGTTTCGGAAAGGAAAACAAAACATTGATGGAAATGGCTCGTTGTCTGCTATTCGAAAAGAAATTACCCAAATGATTTTGGGTTGAGGCTGTCAATACAGCCAACAACTTGCTGAATATTGCTCCAACCAAAGCTCTTGAAAATAAAACTCCTCATGAAGTCTAGTATGGTTCTAAACCTTCAGTTTCACATTTAAAAGTTTTTGGTTGTATTGCTTTTGCTAAGATTCCAGAGCCAAAAAGAACCAAGTTGGAGGAAAAGTCAAGAGTAGCCATTTACTTGGGATGCAGTGATGTGAGCAAAGGCTAGAAACCACTTGATGTGTTTACTAACAAAGTCTTGGTTCGTAGAGATGTGGAATTTGAAGAAAATAAACAATGGAATTGGACAAAAAAGGTAGTTAAAGCCTCTGAAAATACTCAGATATGTTTTGACAAAGAACCTGTTGAAATTGAAGTTGATGATGTTGACGATCCTCTTATAAGAGGAACCAGGAGCTTGCAAGATGTTTATAACAGATGCAATATTGCTGTGACAGAGCTAGCAACGTTTGATGAAGCTTTTAACTCCAAGAGTTGGAAGCAAGCTATGTTAGAGGAAGTTGAAATGATCAGGAACAATAATACTTGGGAGCTTGTACCAAGGATTACAAAGCAAAGAGTAATAGGAGTCAAATGGGTTTACAGAACCAAATTAAATCCTAATGGTTCTGTCAATAAATTGAAGGCACGATTAGTGGTGAAAGGGTTAGCTTAAGTCTACAGCATTGACTACACTGAAACTTTCACTCCCGTGGCAAGACATGATACTATGAGGATGTTAACAGCATTGGCAACTAGAGAAGGATTTCAATTCTGGCATTTGGATGTTAAATCTGCCTTCCTTAATGGCTTACTAGTGGAGGATATTTTTGTGGAGCAACCTGAGGGATTCATAGTGCCTGGTATGGAAGACAAAGTGTGCAAATTAAAAAAGGCATTATATGGGCTTAAACAAGCCCCCCGTGCATGGTATGGAAGGATTGATGCTTATTTGTGTGGTAAAGGGTTTGTTCGAAGTGAGAATGAAGCAACCCTTTATGTTAAAAATCTTGGAACTGAGTCCCAGGTTGTCATCTCCATTTATGTTGATGACTTATTACTTAATGGTCCAAGTAAGTCCTTGTTAAATGAATTCAAGTTGGAAATTGTGAAGGAGTTTGAAATGACTGACTTGGGTTTGATTTCTTGGTTTGGAGATTATTCAAAAGGATGATAAAATCTTCATTCATCAAAGAAAATATGCTGTTGGGTTGCTCAACAAATTTAAAATGGAGCATTGCAAAGCTACTGCTACACCATTGCAAGCTAACTTAAAACTCTCCAAGCATGATGAATTTGACTCTGTTGATGCTACATATTTTTTTTTTGAAAATTGAGCATTTTATTCATCAACCAGAAGTGAACAATCCCTGTACAGAGATCAAGATCAGTCCCAGGTTCTAAATTGCCATCAAAACCTATAGCAACTTAAAATCCAGACTTTACAAAAAGAACACAGCAAGGGAGTCCCAACCTTTCCCTATACAAAAAGCCTCTTCCCTCAAAACAAATCATGACAGCTCCAATCAAAATGCCAATTCCAGTGCATCCCACCCACACCATAACAAATCAAACTTGCTGTGAAGAGCCAGCATCCTGTTCCAAACTATTATAGGAGTCTTATTGGCAGTCTATTGTATTTGACTACATCCAGACCCGACCTCATGTATTCCACCAGCTTGCTTTCAAGGTTTATGCAACAGCCAACCTCCACTCACGTGACTGCAGCCAAGCGGATCTTAAGGTACTTGAAGGGTAGCCTTGATTATGGAGTTGTTTACTATAAAAATTCAACTTCAGATCTTAGAGGTTACACAGATAGTGATTGGGCAGGCAGTAATTATGATTCAAAGAGTACATCTGGGTTTGTTTTTTCATTTGGGAGTGGGGCATTCTGCTAGAATTCAAAGAAACAGGAGATGGTGGCACAGTCATCGGCTGAAGCTGAATATATCTCAATTGCAACAGCCTCAAACCAAGTGATTTGGTTGAGAAAAATACTTCTAGATGTGGGGAAGCTTCATGATAACCCCACAGTTCTTTGGGTTGATAACCAATCTTCTATCTCAATGGCAAAAAATCCTATCCAACATGGACGTACGAAGCACATTAAAGTGAAGTACCATTCAATCCGTGAAGCTATCAGGAGCAATGAAATAAAAGTTTTTTACTGCTGCTCTGAGGAACAAATTGCAGACATCATGATCAAAAGTCTGCCAGCAGAGAAGTTTTTGAAGTTAAGAGCAAAATTGGGTGTCTTCAAACTTGATCTCAAGGAGGTGTGTTAGGATTTGAGATCAAATTGAAAAAACTTTTGCCATCATTTTGTTGTGAATGACAAAACGTGAAGAACATGGCTTGAGGAGCAGTCATGCTATTGATAGTACCAGACTGTCTTTTTTTCTTTTTTGTATTAGCTTGTCAAGCCGACCTAACTTATATGTGAGCTGTGATTGACTAAATATAAGTGTTGTTACATCTTTTGTTTCTGTATGTAAACATCAAGTTGTAATATATATGAAAAAAGACAATGAAAACTGTGTGTGTTGCCCTCTGTTATGTTCATCTCCCTTGTCTAACAACTCTCTCTGTATAATCCTTAAGTGTAAAAAAAAACTCTTCAACATTACAGTTTTTGTATAATAAAGGATTTTTAAAGCACGTATCAGAAAGGTACAGTGT